CTCAGCGTTTCTGAAAATCAGGCCACTCACTGATGCGCCTGAATTTGATTTCAGGTGCTCAGCCTGCAGCGTTCACTGTGAGAAAAAATGGTAACCCGGGAGAACAGGCAATGCAAGGGATGATTTCTTAATAAATGAATGCCTGATTCTATGCAATAAACCTTAATAATATAAAATGAGGGGACAGGAGCAAAAAGCAATACTTTCCTGGAAATCTAACAGAGGGCTTTTTTGCTAGCATCAAAGTGCTATGCAAAAATATGAAATTAATAAACAAATCAAATTAAAAAGCCTAGTAACTGAAGAAATATTGGGCTAAAGTCATGCCTTGTGGAACAGCAGCAGCACTGATGAAGTACATCAGGGACAGATTTGACCCACTACATTTTGAGCATTAATTTGATCAGGAGCTGTGAGTCAAAGGCGCAAATCCCACACAGCAAAGAACTTTGCTCAACCACCATTGCGAGTGCCAAGCGCAACAGTGTGGATCAGTAAATGGCAAAAATGCAAAAGCTAAATATTTTTGCAAGTAAAAAATTAGCTTCACAGAGTATAAAATAAACAGCACTGCTAGGAACAGAGACAAGGTGGAGGCTAGTTGTCTTGATAAAGGCAATTTTTTAAAGTTACTTCAGCGGCCCTCTCCACCTGAAGACCGCATCCAGCCTGCCCACCAGCTGCCTGGGCTGCCCTGCACGACTCCTCACACCGCTACTCAGGTGCCTTCTGAGGCACACACCAAGGCAGAAAGACTCAGTCATAATGTTGTGTCGCCAAACAAAGAAAACCAATTCCTTTCTCAATCTATGTGCATTTAAATGAGGGGGCAGTGAATACTGCTTGCCAGTCCCTCACCTACCTGTTGCCTGACCAGTAGCAATGCTGCACCCTCTACCATCCAAGGAAGCACTTCAGAAAACCCATGCTCGTCCACCCACCTACCAGCCTGTCTGCTGAGACACAGAGGCTGGTGAAGCACTATCATGGTAGTGCTTCTTCCTGGCACAGGTATTGATCATCTCAGGACGGAAGATACCAACCATTTTGGACTTGTCAGTCCCTACTACCTATACAACTTGGATCCAAGCAGAGCCATGTAGAAAAGCCCTTACATTCCCTCCCCTCTCCTAACTCCATCCAGCAACTCTTAAAACTCCACTGAGCATTTTTCAAAAGTTTTCCCATATGGTTTATGTTGGCCATTCAACAGTCTTGGGTACTCATGGCAGAAAGGCAGACAGCACCTTCCTACCATTAAATTTATTAGAACTAGTGGTTCTGCTCCCTGTCCAAAGTGCAGTAACACAGGCGTGATCTGGACTGCTATCTGAAATCAACTATGTCCATTAAGAAGAGTACTAGAAAACTCAGTACACAACCAGTTGTGGCAGGGGGTGGAACCTGACACTTGTGTTAAAAAAGAGAAACAGAAATGGATTTGAAACATTCGTTTCCCTTTATTTGCTCAGTGAGGCTGATGTGTACTGCACATTAAAAAAAAAAATCACAGGAATTTTCATACAATGAAATAAACCACAAAAGTACATGTAGAATCGGCAGGTGGAAAATCGCCCAACTTGGGCTTAACTAATGTCTCACTTTCCCTGTTCAGCATAGTCCAACCAATAGTTTCACACGTTCATCTACTGCACAGATCTTACAGCAGCTCCATCAGGTCAGTGGTTCACATTATTGAAAATGTCTGTCACATAGGTACAAATTTAGAATCATCACATTATATTACATGGCTATTCTAGGTCATTTATAGATCAGATCTTATACTACAGTGATTGAAGTTCTCATTACAGCCATCAAAAAGGACACATAATCATTACCTATGGTAAATTTACATCTAAAGGGATGAGAAGGTGTGGCTGTTTTTTTTTTTTCAACTGACCCAAGTATTGTACCCCAGAGGTACAAACTTTCTTCTTAGCACTGCTCTTAGTGACGGCAGCTCAACTGCTTTCCACAGCAGCTTAGCACAGGTATTTTTCTTCAATTTTAGGCTCCCTCTGTTTGGATTTGGATCATATTACATGATGTAGGAATTATTTCACTACAGCTCTAGGAAAGACCATAGTTTCTAAGTACCAGTTCTGTTACCTGTATTGCAGATGTGGTACTTACCACAGCATGGAAGCACAGTACAATCTTCATCTAAAAGATACACAGGGCTATGCTGCAATTTGCCTCCAGTGACAATGTGGTACATGTGGCTAATTTGAAATGTTCTTGGGGGAGAAAAAAAAAAAAGGAAACACTGAGTTTATATTTTGATCAGTTACCTACTACAGTGTCTACAAAAGATACAAACAGCTTTATTCAGCAGTCCTAGCTCTACATTAATTTTGTATGTAATTTGTAAATCCACAGAGGAAAGCCATCTTCAAGATGAGAATGTTTGTGAGGCCAGTGAAAAAAAAAATAAAATTGACTCATGTCATTATGTCTGCTTGGTGAAAAAGAAATAATCCCGCCCCAAACCCCACACCAATTTATTCATGTCAGCAATCTAGGGCAAAAAAGAACGTATTTAAAATTTAATCACAGAAATTTAAAGGCAAAATAGGTAATACATCTGGTCCTTGAACACATAATATGATATACTAAATATTGATTTCTTAAAAATAATTTATTGCTTTTAATATTTTTCTTTACAACATTAGATACTCAAAATCCAGAAAGGAAAAATGTAAACTTTTAGTTTGGCATTCACACAAAGTTAAAATACCTGCATTTTTAACCTACAGAGCAACAACACGAATTATGCAGATTAAAGAATGTTAGAGTCGTAACACAGAACCTCTGAAAAAGGTCTCTTCTTTTTATTTTTATTGCTATCTATCTACTGAGAAATAAGAAGCCAAAAAATCAAGCAAGCACCCGACAGGACAGACAGTGGAATCTCTCAGAACACAATATGCTGGTGATAAAATGAATGCAGCCATCAAAATCAACTGCACTGGCATGGGGGTGGAATCAGTTACCTAAAATTGGGAGTGGTAAAGGAGATTAAATAGATCAGTGCACCATACCTTCAAGAGTAGTCATGAATGCCAAACTGTAATAGAATACCAAATCTATACATTCACAAGCAAATTCCAAACTTTGCTGATTCAGTCTAGAGACTCCGAGCTCAGATGGAATTCTGATGCTCAGAATAGCAGTAGTTTACTCTTGTAGTTTTTTTCTTTCCTGAAGTTTCTATTCAATTTAGCAGAAGCAAAGTCATCAGCAACATGGGCACATCTGAGGCCATGCTAGTGCATAGTAAAAAAAAGAAAAAAAACCCACAACCCACTGCTTCTGCAAAAGCTGAATTTCCAAACGAAGCACTTACTCCAAACTGACAACTGTCATGCATCCTAGGTACAAAATTTCCACTGGCCTTTTTATTATTTTAGTCATTTCATAATTTATAATAAATAGGATAATTGTAACTGATAAATATGTCTCTTTAGTAAACAAAGGAATGAAGGATCGGTATTTATACAGGATGCATAACTGTAAAAAATACAGATAAATACCATCGTTAAACTCTGCCAATGAAAAGATTACTGGCTTCAAGAACAGTGTTTAGACACAGAATTACTGTAAAAATCATACTGTACTTAGTACGTCGGCGTATTTTTATCAAATTAAAATCACAAAAATTAAAACAAAATAGCATTTTAAAAAGATTTTTGACTTCTAGTTCCAAAACTACTGTTGATACATAAAATAAAAACATTTCTTAATGATTATCCATTTGAGAGACTTTACATAAAATTATGGTATCTCCTAGAAAAATTTAGATGAGAAAATTTCATTCCCTAACAAATTCAGTGTATAAAACTGCAAAAGAAAATCAAGCAATGAGAAAAATGTGGAAAAATACTGCAGAACTGGTTAATACCTTTCGGGCTGGGATAAGTCTTGACAAAATTCTTACAGAAGCTCACCGAGAAGGGACGAATGTGTGTAAAGCGGTTTTGCACTCAGACACACACGCACACACATATATACAAACACACCCTCACCTGCACGCTTTTCTCTCCCTTTTTTTTTTACAATCAAATATATAAGCATAAGTTCAGCTTTCTACATATGTTAGTGTACAATAATTGTTTCACCTCATATAATTACATTTGAGTATTCTTGATTAAGAAAAATTCAGCAGTATTTGAAAAGAAGGCTGCATTTACAGTGCATAGCTGTAACAAAAAAAAACATCGTCATACAGTATGTACATAAATTAAAATACTCCATTTAACATTTATAAATACTCAACTACTTTAGAGAATGTAGCAAATAAACTATCTGTGCACACACCCAGATAGTTATATCCTATTCTCATTAATAATGTAACACCACGTCCGCTCATTAGAATAAATCGCTGAACAAGCTGCACATTTGACCATTAACAAGGCTTTGAAAATTTTGCTGTGGAAGATCAACGTTGTAGACATTTACATGGGTGTTAGAATCAGAAGATGAAACTTCAAAATGTTAGGCAAGCTTGAGCCTTTCATTTTCTTTTCTGCAAGGACTGAAAAAAAAAAAAGAAAACCACAAAAAAACAACCCCAAAGAAACAAGAAATCTTAAAACAAAGCTAAAAGAGGTTGTAGGCTTCTGGGACCTGTGGTTTCTTCTGGATTGTCATATTATCACTGTGTTGTGAGAAGAAGCTTCATTTAAAAAAAAAATAAAATAATGCAGTGTCTGATTCCCAGACATCAGCAGCCGCAGTTCTCAAATTTTGTTTTTGTTTGTTTTTTGTTAAAATGCAATATGTACAGATCTTGTAGTTCATCATTGTACGTGTATCTCTGTGGAACTGCTGCCATGTCTCGTGGTTTGCATCGAATTCGCGAGGAATGCCCGGCTCCCCCGCTACCGATCACCCGCGAAAGCAAAGCTGACACCCATGGACACGCGTGTGCTTACTTGACAGTTGTCCTGCGTCTCCACTCGTCGAGCAGCTGTGTTCATGTAAACCATGGTTTTGAACAAAGAGTGTAAAGTAGGAGAAATTCCTAAGTATGACTTTTAAATTGTCCATTATTGAAGGACGTGATGTCCGTGAGGTATTCGCTATCCCTCTGTTTTCTCAGGTGTGATGCATGTTACCTACGCAGGCTCCGCTGTGCCTCTTTAAGTAAACTATCAAAATCCATGGAGTCATACTTGCTTTTAGTGGAAGCAGGATCAAAATCATCTGAGTTTGAATCTGAAACCCAAAGAGAAGCAAGTTCAGGTGACGGACAAGAACGGGTGATAAGTACTTATATTATTTTCTTTTTACAACGGTATGAACAAAGCACTGCAGGAACAATCCACTTGCGACCACAGTTTTACAGGAATGGCATGATAAAAGCCCAGAAATAGTCATCAGAGAAGCCTTAGGTATGGACAGAGCTTTCTGGCAAGAAGCATGTCTTAAGAAATTCAGTACACATCATTGGAGGGGGGTGCATACCATAAACTGCATGTACATATAGAGCAGGTAAACTCTGAACAGTTTCTCTAAGGACTTGAGCACCAACACAGGGTGTACAAAGGTCACAAAGTAGTCCAGATAACCTTGATAGATGCTTTACCCAAAACTCCACCATTGTTTTGCAATATTCAAGACTTTCTCTCTGAAGAAAGGTAATAACGGGTGGTTCTGCAGAAAGCCAGAGCAGCTGGCAGACAGCATGCAGAGGACACAGCTGCTTCTGCCTGCCCTGCTTCGGGGTCTTGTACAAGTCATTGCACCTCCCCAAGTCCCTGTTTTTACTTCCACACTGCCTCTTTTGGGGTTTGCTTGTTTAGAGTGTGAGCAATTCATGGCAGGGACTCTGCCCTGCCATACAAGCTATCTCAGGTGGGCTCCTCAGCTTTTTGCAGCATACGTAATAAGTCATAGCAGCAATCATGGTCCAGCTCCTGTGACCTGCAATACCAGCTCCTGCTTTGCTGGATTGTCAGACACAGACATCAGTCTGTTCCCAGAGCAGAGGAGGAATTGTATGTTTGTGGCCATTCAGTTCCAGTACAGCAATTATTGACGTAGCAGCAAGCACCAAATTTCCTTTCGGAGTCATCCCTGCTTAACACTGACTCTGCATGGTTGCTGTGTCACAGCTCCTTTGTGAGTGTGCCCTTTTCTTGCCATTTCTTATGTTGAATTAATCAGAACTCCCTGTCTACCACTATAAGACACGCTGTGCATTAAATGTTCATTAGAAGTTCTGTTAAGACAATATCTTCTCACAGAGGAGAGGTGTTAAACTTCTGACTACTATTTTCAAGTGTTTTCTTTCTTCCATACTCAACCCAAGGCTGATTAATTCTCTCTGTCCTTGTACTAGCTCATGAATTTTAAAGTTCATCCTGCCATTTCCTTATGTAGCTCTATCAGATGATCTGCAAAATACAGGGAATGCAGTCTGAAGCAGAGAAGCTCAGGCTGACAGCAGGACAAAGTGAAAATACTCTGCTCAGATACTCTGGGAATCCCACTCAGTATGGAGAGACCTGCCAGGGAATACTCCCAGCGATGAATAACGTTCAAGAGGGTTCCCTTCAGACAACTTATTTTAAACCCCAGATTTTCTGAGATACAGAGACGACCCTGGCTTCCGCTGCTGAAGATAAGACAAATCAAGTCAAGACTTCAATCTGCTTTTACTGTTTTTATCAGCCTACATTTCAACAAATGCCTTGCTACCTTTTATATTTTCAACATCAACCCTATATCTCTTCAGCAGTCAATTGCCTTTTCTTAGCTTTACATTATCTGTTTAGTCACTGAAGTGAATTATAGCATATTCATTGTGAACAATGTGTATGATCTTTATAATTTATTCTGAAAAGACATCAATTGGTTATAAAAAAATATGTCTGTATTCTCTTCCTGCTTTCTACAAAGCCAAGGGCAGCACATACAAGAATTCATTAGCACTGTGTTACAGGGTTATGAGAGATTTTAATGACTGTGGTCATTTATTCATAAAAAACCCACAATATCTGATTAATATAGATTCAATGGCAAAATGTCCCTTGCTATTTTATACAGAAAAGAGGATCTTCCATACCTTCAGTCTATTCATACAGGTATCAGGAAAGGTTTAGCATTTCATGAATACTTTACATTTTAAAAGGTAATTAAATAAGAGGCGAGTTTATAATATATTATGATACTTCAGGGGATGTTTTGTTAGTCTGCATGGTCTCTCTGTGCAGGTACTTAACATCAGCATTCCTG